AATACGGCACCTGGGAGTTGGTCAAGTTCGCTTGGGAGATGAACAAGGGCGAGCACTCTACCATGACCATCGGATTGGTATTCAGTTTCCTTGCTGGTTGCAACCCTGCCATCCAAGCCATCTTCCTGGGTAACTCCATCAACTCGCTTCTATCTCCTGGAACGTCTCTCGGCGGGCTCAACGTCAACTTCTGGTGTGGCATGTTCCTCATGCTCGGAATCGTCATCGGCTTCTTCTACTACGTCCAGGGTATGACCCTGTCGAAGGGATCTGCTAGGCTTGTTGGCAGCGTGCGAACGCGCGCCTTCGGCGCTATGCTTCGTCAAGACATGGAGTTCTTCGATGGTGACACGGTCACTTCCGGTGCGCTGAGCAACTTCCTCTCTTCAGAGGCGAATCGTCTCGCCGGTCTCAGTGGCTCTACTCTTGGAACGATTGTCAGCGCCGCCGCTTCCATCCTTGTTGCCTTCATCGTGGGTTGCTCCTTCGGGTGGAAGCTGGCGCTTGTGTGCTCTGCAACCATTCCCCTTGTCATCGCCTGTGGTTACTTCCGATTCTATGCTCTCACTCGCATGGAGAAACGAACCAAGGAGACATCCGATGCCGCCAGCTTCGCTTGTGAGGCTGCCTCTTCTATTCGTACCGTTGCCTCTCTCTCGCTGGAGAAGCATCTCTTGTCCACCTACCACACCAAGCTTGCAGACCAGGGCAAGGGTTACTTCAAGTTCACGAACGTTTCCGCAGTGCTCTTTGCGACATCCCAGGGTCTCAGCATGTTCATTTTCGCCCTTGTGTTCTGGTACGGAGGACGTCTGTTGTTCAACCAGGAGTACACTGTTTTGCAATTCTTCGTCGTCTACTCCTCCATCATCAACGGCGCTCAGTCGGCCGGTGCCATCTTCTCCTTCGCTCCCGACATGGGCGAGGCCAGGGATGCAGCGAAGCTTCTCAAGTCATTTCTGAACCGCGTTCCTAAGATCGACAACTGGTCGACTGAGGGCAAGAAGATCGACAGGTTGAGCGGCAAGATCGAGCTGCAGGATATCCGTTTCACCTATCCTGGAAGACCGGACCACCGTGTCCTGCGTGGCATTAGTCTTTCAGCTGAACCTGGTCAATTCATCGCCCTTGTCGGCGCATCCGGTTCTGGCAAGTCGACGGTGATGCAACTGCTCGAGAGGTTTTACGACCCGACAAGCGGTGCCGTGCTCGTCGATGACGTGGAGGTCAAGGACTACAACCTTCAAGACTACCGATCGCAATTAGCCATCGTCAGTCAAGAAACAACGCTCTACACTGGCACGATCCGAGAGAACATCCTTGCCGACAAGGAGGAACTGGGCGATGACGCGGTGATACAAGCGTGCAAAGACGCCAACATCTACGACTTCATCACATCGTTACCTGACGGTTTCAACACGCTGGTCGGCGCAAAGGGTGCTCTACTGTCTGGTGGCCAGGTACGTTCTCTAACTCATTCACTTCTCTCAACCCCACTAACATGTCTTCCAGCGCCAACGCATAGCCATCGCCCGCGCCCTCCTCCGCGACCCCAAAGTCCTCCTCCTCGACGAAGCCACATCCGCCCTCGACTCCACCTCCGAACGCGTCGTACAAGCCGCCCTCGACTCCGCCGCACAAGGCCGCACCACAATCGCGATCGCGCATCGCTTGAGCACAATTCAGCACGCCGACGTCATCTATGTCTTTGACCAAGGCAAGATTGTAGAGAAGGGCAGACACGAGGACTTGGTGGCCAAGAAGGGAGTCTACTTTGAGCTGGCGAAGCTGCAGGCTATCGGCGCACCGCAGTAGTTCCAATGGGCGGGAGCTATTTTGCATACACGGCGTTTGGAATTCATGGGACGCTAGAGCATATACTTGTAATCGTTTTCTTAGATCGCTAGGCTGGAACTCTTGTAGATCTTTGGCATATAGAATGCCTGTTTCTTTGCCTTGGGCGGAGTACACTCAATAGATAATATCTCTCCATTACCGCTTTCGTATGTCGTTGTGTTGAATCACCCGGTGGACGGCCCGACGGGATGCTGCCCCACAACCACGTGAACGCGCGTTGCAATGCCACAGGGAACACGCGACTTCCGACGACATTCCATAGCTCCATCTTCTGCTCCTGTGGTTCCGATCGTTATTCCACCAAACATAGGATGCGAGCTGTTTTCAGAGGTTTAGGTTTGCCAAGCAAAGCTCGCCCCCAACGCTGCTTTCAGGCGTCCATGCCTCGACCCAGACCGCCACCAGCGAGTCACGATGGCTCGACTGCCACCTTGCGAGCCTTTGTTTGAGAGCAAGGGACATCCCCCACTCACTGACGACCCGTACCGGCACATCGCGACTTCCTGGACGCCAATATGCGCAACCCCAACGGCATTCGCATCCTACTCCTCCTCCTACCGCCCCTTCTCTTCCTCTTCGGCCTCGCCGCCCTGACCAACATCCTCGAGCGCATATCCAAAAACTACTTTAACGACGGTCTCGGTCGCGACATACGCAGCGGCGCGTCCCAGATAACTTTGTCTCGCCCCGGCTCGAACGATACCACCGTGACGGTTGATACCAACAACGCGCCCACGATCACCATACTAGCGTTATGCCTACTAGGATATCTAGTCAGTCTACTCAGCGCGGCGGGAATATGGCAATTGAGAAGGACAGAGGGCACAGCGGGACATGAGAGGATGTGGACGTGGATCATATTCGTTAGCAACATCGTGATGGTTGGTGCTAGTCTGGGTGTCTTTGGATACGTCACGTCTGTTCAGAGTAGCGATAAGAGCTGGCAGGGCTACGAAGACGTTGGCCAAGATGACCAGGAGCACACGAGAGAGACATGGGCATGTCAGATCGACAAATTCTTCCCTGAGGAAGATTGGGCAGGAACGGCATGTGGAACTGCGAAGGCGATGAGGTTTATGGTGATCGCCCTGGCTGTCGCTGCGTTGTCGGTCTTTGTCAGTTTGTGGGTTCTTGTACGGGCGAGAGGAGGGGTCAAGTGGGCGTTTGGGGGCAAGGGCAGATATGCGGCGTTTGCGAGTGTGTATGAGATGCAGCCGCCTGGTCCGCCATCGCCTTATACTGGACCACAGGGACAGCAGTGGGTTCAGCAGCCGGGACAGCAATGGATGGGTCAGCCGGCACCACAGCAGTGGGCGCCGCAACCTTACCAGCAGTGGGGTCCGCAGCCGGTGCAGCAATGGGGTCCTCAGCTTGTAGCTCAACAGCCTGTCGCTCAGGTGCCCAAGTCAGATACTGTAGGGCAACGTCCGGTGTTCGGATGAGCTCGAGACGAATTCACGAGGTATCATTCAAAGTCTGCCGATTTCTGGAATGCCATTCGTTTCGTTCTCGTTTCCCCGAACACTTCATACTAACAATCCAGGGAGATTTTATGCTTGGTATCTCAGGGTCACGGTCAGATGAGGGTTTCGTTCGCCAATGATGGCTTCACGTGTGTCTTTAGGGTCGATTCACTTTCACCAGGAGCCACGAAAAGCGCTTTCACCTCTCACCCTCGTTTGCGAAAATAGGGTATGGCCGATTGCTCTAGTCTGGTTTACGGATACTTTTACACTCTCGGCTCAAACGCTCCAGATACCAGTCGCCAGCCACCATGATGACAAGCTCTTCTCGCCATACGGCGCCCTCGGCGCGCAGTTCTAGGTCGCTTGACATCGCTCTTGATAAATCAGAAAGTCGTGTGGGGAGCCAGAAGAGCAACGATCTCGAAAATTTGAACTACCCATACAACAAGACCGACAGTAGACCTGCTATGCCCTACACGATAGGCGCCACGTTCACTGCCCACCGTCACGTACCATCTGCGCCTTTCGGTAACGGTTACAACACTCCATGGCCGCCTTTCAAGACAGGCCACTTCAGACTACCGCAGCTCAACTACTGCCTTATCCGACCGCCAATCGAAGGGTGTACACTCCAAGAGTCCTACACGCTTACCATCACCGATATAATACGTACTGGCTCTATATACGCTGCGCAAGTCGTCTTGGTCAACGGAGATGTAGTAGCAAAGATATACGACCCGCTTTACGATGACGAATTCGACATCTTCGATGACAAGCGCGATGTTGTCGTACTATCTGATGGAGATTACTCCCGCGAAGCCGCTGCGTACGATGAATTACGACGAGATTACAAGGCGCAGCGCGTTGTCCCGGAGTACTATGGTAGCTGGACTATTGACGTAGACACGTTGGTGGACGGCCGGATGTACACACGACACGTTCGGCTCATACTCATGGAATATATACCCGGTACTGTTCTGACCGCCATAAAGCCGCTACTGCTCTCTGCACAAACACGCTCAACAATCATGAGAAAAGTCCTAGAAGCTGAATCCCTCATCTTCGCCGCCGGTGTCCTGCACCGCGACATCGCCCCTCGCAACGTCATGCTCGTCTCCCCATCACCCACATCTTCCCTCGACGACCCAGACCTCCGTATCGTCATCATCGACTTCAACGTCTCCAATGTCATTCGGCTCAGCGAACCCCGTCCTGGCGACTCCGACTCCGCATACATACAACAGCGATGGCCGGGCAGGATAATGGGGCCAGTAATGAGGTTCTGGAATGCGATGGGTGATTTTGCGTTCAAGGGGTGGGTTGGTAGTAAGGCGGAGACGACGAATGAGTGGCTGTGGGAGTGTTTTGGGGAGAGGGAGGAGTATGTGCCGCTTGTTAGGGATGCGGGGGATAGGAAGGCTTGTCCTGGGATTGATTGGGGATGCAGATCTGGAGAACGGGGGTAATGCGGACGGAAGTAGAGCTGCTGAGTAGATGGTGAACAGTCCGGACACAGGCGGTGAGGTTTCATGAAATCTTCGTCATAGGAGAGTATGTTCAGTATTCCATTATATTCCAATCGTTCGCTCTATAGATATCCCGGATACCTACATCGCCTCTCATGCACAACTACCAGAAGCCCAGGTGTACCCATAGACACTACATTGTAATTACCGACTATTCTCTGGACTCAATTTCGATTCCGGCGTCTTCAAATGCCTTCAGAAGCCAGCCTAGGAGAACTTTGCGAATGAGACCTGACTCCATGGAGCCAGTTCCTTCGTCGCTCTCCTGTACCCAAGACACTTTTGGTCTAGCGCTGGCTGATGCGGGTTTGCCATTCATCTTAGGCTTGATTGGGTCAAAATCGAACAGTAGTAGATGGTCCCAGTTGAAGAGTGCGACATGCTTGCATTCTGTGCGGATGGCATAGGCCCGAACTTGCCTGCCGTAGGGTTCTGCGTTATTTTGCAGTAAGGTGCCTGTGCCCTTCTCAGTAAGATGGGCTTCCTTATTCTTGCGGTCTTCTAATGTTGGATTCTCCACAACGATAGCGTCCTCAAAGTCTTTGTAGCGAATGTATTGTCGTCGCTTGAACTCGACGACTGCAATTGTTTCCTTGGAACCGGAGGTTTTGAAGATCAAGTCAGTACGGAGAGCAGATTCCCCAACGTTTTCTCTCTGTTCGTCTTTCTGTGCGTTTTTCTGTGCGTTTTTCTCGACCTGGGTCTGCTCTGAGTGAAGAGTCCATTTGCCAGGAAACATTGCATGAAGCACCTCGGTGATAGGATCAAGCACATATGTCATAGTTGCTAGTACAACTCCAGCCTCATTGTCTTGTTTAATCTCAGGGCGCTTGGCGGAGATGGTCCTTGAACCAAGGATCTGATTCAGCATTGGACGATTTAGAAACTCATCAGCAGTCGTCTCATGCTCCACGATAGGTGTGTAGAACAACATCTCAGGGGGCGGCGTGTTCTTTGTAGTGGCACCAGAAGCTTTCACAGTCTTGACCGTAACCTTAACGTCAAGTTCTAGGACGTATATCTTGCTCTGGAAAGACTCAAGAATTGTCGGCGGTAAGGAGGAATCAGGTGTCATTTTGGCGATTGAGAAAGGCCTGCCGGTGCTGCTTATCGTGATGAAAGAGTTTGGGAGCAAACGATCGGAGTGAAGTGCTTCAGTTCAACGGGGTTGAGGTTTCTATTGGGTTGAGTAGATAACAGTGGGAAGAGCTCAAGGAAATCTGGGCGTGATATGTGAGAATTGCAAATTCATGGGTCCTACGTCCCACCCGCGTGACATCACTTGCCTAGTTAGAGCAGAAGCTGGAAGTGAAATGATGGTAGGTGTGACTGTTTTACTCCGCCAGCGATATAGTGACTGTACAATGGAGTCGCACCAGGCTAAGACTCTCGAAGGAAGTTTCTGTCCCTGATTATGTTCACATTTCCCTACCTAGGTAATCTAGTGAACTCAAAGCCGCGTTCATTGCCCATACACAAAGTCGACGTGAATCAGCCCGCAGACAATTCCGTTCAGATGAGTGATCGCACAACGAAGGCTTAGTCATTGTAGGTACCCAATGTTCTTACTACAAAGAGCACGAAGGCCAGTGAGCACGAGCACGAGTGAATTCCGAGCCACGTGATGGCGCGGTGCGGGAGCTAGCGTGACTTGGCACACTTTGTCCCTACTTCTACCAGTAACCTTGTCCCGCGCACAACTTCACTACACGACACCAGATCTCCGATGGAAGCGCAACTACTCCAGCCGATCAGCGAGGCGCAAGCAAGCGATCGCGCGTGCAGTAATGACCACTGCCCATCGGCTGCTCCCGATGACACCGGATCACCATCACAAAGCGCCGGAGCTGAGCAAAGCGATACCGAGACTAGCGACATCAACTTCGAGGAGACGCCAGTGGTGCCCTACGTTGTAGGTCTGACTCTTACGGGCACAAGACATGCGCCACCTGAGCCTTTCGGCTGGAGATACACCACGGAAAATCCCCCCATGGTGGAGAACTGTGATTCGCTTTCGCAAGCCGAGCTTTGCTGTATGCGACTTCCTCTGGGTGGTCAGACAATTCAAGATGACCAAATCACTCTCACTATAACCGATATCATCAGGGCCGGATTCAACACAGGTGCGCAACTTGTGGTAGTCAACGAAACTATGGTTGCCAAAATCTTCGATCCGCTCTGCTACAGGGATTACGACTACGATATCGGCAGCATCAACGTTGTGTATGATGCAGATGGCGATTATAGTCGCGAAGCTGCCGCCTATGAACAGCTACAGAAGTCATCGGCGGCTAGAGAAGTCACACCTGCTTTCTACGGCACCTGGACTATTCCTGTTGATACCCAGCTCCGCGACGGGGATCAGCTCCAGAAGCACACTCGCCAAGTGCCTCTGGTTCTGATGGAATACGTACGAGGGGATACGATGCGCAATGTCGATGCCCGAGCATTGACGGAGCAGATACGGTCCTGCATTCTCGAGAAGGTCATAGACAACGACATTGTCATATTTCACGCAGGCATCGACAATCCTGATACCAGCCCTCGAAACATCATAATAGCTGGTCTCCAAGCCAATCCAGAAGACAACGTACCAGATGGTATCACCGTCAAAGAGATCGATTTCAACATTGCTACTGTCCGTCGTCACCCGGGATGTCACAACTACCAAATGGTACGTGAGGTCGACGAGGAACGTGCGGTGTGGCTCCCCAAGCTTCAATCGCCAATGATTCGATGGTTCAGCGGCATGGAAGATTTTGCGGGAGATGGCTGGTGCCCTGGTGAAGAAGGAGAACCCGAACTGTGGCTATGGGAACAGTATCATAACGATGAGCGCTATATTCCCGTCATTTGGGACCCGTCCCAACCCGACGCTAGGCCACAGCGCGTAGAGTTCGAAAGCGGTTCCGAGACAAGCGTGGATTCAGGTCTGGGTTTGGACATGGTCATTGTGAAAGGCGACGAAGACGACGGGAAGAGCGTTGTTGAGCTCGATGACCAAAACGCGTCTGCTGTACAGTCGTCATAAGCTTTGCTGGGCGTTAACGGAGTTGTTGTCCTTTTGAGACGTAATTAGATACCTATTGATGGGCATCAGGCCTGGAAAATGTATACTCTCTCTATTGTAGATATATCTCTGGAGTCTTAAGTGCTCAAATGGTCGGTTTGCCCTTCTCTTGGATGCTTACGTGATGAAGTTTTCGCGGCTCTGCATAAATCGATAGTTCACATCAACGTCCCGCAATGACACCCTCCTCATCTCCTCCCTGCCAACTTACACCTACTCGCAGCCTGTCTGGTTGAACTTCATAATCGAGGATGCGTTCGATCCGAAAGCCACAGCGCGATCAATCCATGCATCGATGCTTTCAGCGGCTGGCTGTCGCACCCTGCTCAAGATGTACAGCGTATTCCACTTCTGAGTTTGCACAATTGCCCAATCGATGGCGTAATCTGCGCGTCAACGTTAGCGGTCGTGCACTTCGATTAATGCTCACAACACGACTCACCTTGCACAATGTAGTTCGGTCCTGGGCACTCTGCTGTTGATGGCGTGCCAGGGAAGCTGACAACGAAAGCACCGGCGGTGCCATAGGCAGAGTCTACGGGCGTGGCTGTGCCGACAATGTCGACAGTTCGTGGGCCGACAGTCGCGGTGTTGGTGACGCGCACCGTACCGTTATCCTGCATCAGCTGTCAATCACCGTCCAAAGATTCGCATACACGAAAAAAACGTACGTTAAGTTCGTAATTTGCGCTGACGCAGCGCGCCCCGGCCGTAGGACCGAATGGCGTACCAGCTACCTGATACCAGGTACCGAGATACGCGTTCAGGTTGAACTTGGAATCAGGGACGGGGTAGAAACAGGTTCCGTCATATTGTGCGGCCGCGACATTAGGCGTAGAGCTCGTCTCGTTATAGGAGGCTTGACGAGGGTGAATAAAGCCTGATGCGGCGGAGGAAAGGGCGAGGACAGTACTGGCGACGCGCATTTTGATCAAGCTTACACCTTGTGTCGGAATTAGAGATTATGGTGTATGGTGTAGATGAGGCAGGGATGGTAATAATTTTGCAATGAGGACGTGCCTCCCTCTACTTGACATAAACTGTGGCTGGTGGCACGTCACTCCCAAGCCACTATGAAGTACCACGCTTTCATAAACAGTCCAGACTCGGACACATGTGCACATCGCCGGTATCTCTCCCGGGCCGACAGGAACCATCGTGAATGCGCATCGGTACACACGTGTTGCCAAGCGTGCGGACTCTTTTCCTCGGTCGAAATGTGGTAGCGGAAGAGCCCCGGCTCTTCTTCTCATTACGAGATGTTGCGGCTGTCGGCAACCGCAGCTGTTGTTTAGTAACGAGGTTGGTGTTTTGGGGACAGGGGTGAGCGACCGAGGGCTGGTGACGACGTATGCGCCGACTTGGCATGGAGCCGCATCACCGCCTTCGTCGCTTGTGCTCTACACTACAATGTTTACTTGGTTTCGCCTATGGAGGATGCTATGGAGGCCTCCGAAGCTAGGTTCTGTCATCAGATCATGCAAAGGCGTTGCGAGCTTCGTGACAGTCCCAGGGCTTGTACAGAAAAAGGTTTGTTATTGACCTCCAAACAGTAATCATTGATCTGCCTAGCCATCTATCCATTACAGAAGTCTTTCAGTAAGCTGTGAGGTTACGAAAAGAGACCCGAATCAAGACAGGCCACTACCCGCCTCACCCAATACCGCATCGCACGCTTCGAGTAGAAATCCCAAGAACGTCAAACGCATACTATCTCTTGGAACGGCGGTGACCCGAACTCCTTCAATCCCCAAGACGTTTCCGAACCTCAAAAGAATGAGGTTATCGTAATCGCAAAGTGCAACGTACGGGCATTTATACGCTTTCGGCTCGTCCACCCACTACCGATCGATCGTGTCGCCTTCAACGATACCAGCCAGTGTATTTGGACACAACCACTTAACAGTCATGAGCAATCTCGGTTGGTGTGTCCCCATGAACTTCTCATAATAGAGTGACACCCGACTGTAGCCTATCCACCCGTTGCGTTGCGCCAGTTGAGTAGGATATTTCATCACGATGGCGTGATCGAGGGGACATTTTAGCCATATGCGAGCAGCGTCGAAGACGTCGTCGTCGGTCTTGAGGGGTCTGAGTGAGTTGTCGTCGGGGTTCGGTAGGGTAGGTAGTGGAGGGTCTTGGTGAATGGGCGAATCGGGATTTGCGTATTCGGCTTCGAGGAAAGTGGTGGCGCTGTGTATGTAATCTGTAGGCGCGTCGGTGTGCCAGATGGTACAGATGCTCTGATCTCTCATGCTTTTGAGGTACGGGTTCTTGAACTTTACCAGCTCTTCGTCCGCGTTTTCGAGTGGTGAGTGGTAATCGTACGCCATTGTGCTGATAGGGCTCGCGTTTTGTTAATAAGGCGATACCGTGTGCGTGTCCTGAGTGGGCTTTGGGATATCGTGGATGAGCCAGGCTACTGATCAAGTGAGGGTGACATGAGGGCGTTGGGTGGAGAGGACTGCGTACTGGCACATCGAAAGCAGTCGAACCTGCCGAAACTCAGTGAAAGCCGCTGCTACAAATTCACACTATTGTGGGAGGAACAATACGGAAGATGCACACCACACCAATTTCTGAATTGAAGCGTAGTAATCATAAAATGTACAGTAACGGGCCTGCTACAATAGAACGCCGATGCGCACAGCGCTTGATCCATGATCCGTATGCGCCTATCGTGACGCCGAAGCTCAGCAATACCCTAAAAAATGAACAAGAAAGTAAAAATGAGCGACTATTGCAAGCTCTCGGTAGGAACAATGGAGACCTTGAAGATGGTACCAGCCAGTGATGAATCACCGCCAACCGTCACATTACCGGAACCAGATCCGACGTCGTTGTGACATCCCTCCTTGCCCGACTTCTGAAGCATGCGAGCAAAGTAGCCATAGCAATCCTCGACCTTCCAGAAGACACCAGCAGAGTCCTCGGGTTGGGAAGCTGGGGTGACATCGACTACAACCCTCATTAGTACATCTGGATGCTGCGAATTGGACAAGAGTTTCTTACATCTGACAGCATAGTCGGTAATTCTGTTACCGTCGCTACCCACTACATTGGCATCTTGTATGCTGTTCTTTTCGCCGCTGAGTGGGTAGTCAACAGTCGCGGTACACAGCGTACCGGTGGGGATGCGGTCTGGATAGGCGCAGCCGGGCATCATAGCGGCGCAAGCGTTGTTAAGGATAGTCTCGAGTTTGGGATCAGCTGTGAAGCTGAGTGATTTATCGGAGTCGGAGGTGGGGTCGCATGTCGTTATTGTGTCGGATGCGGGTTGCCAACTGTCACTGGCTCCCGTCTTGGGTGACTGCCGTTGAACGAGCGGTGCCGCGAGCGCCGTCGCTAGAAACGCGCTGAAGAGCATTTGGGTGTACATTCTGGCTGAGAGATCCGACTTCGAAGGTAGGGATTTGGAGAAGATGTGGTACAGCAGGTTGGGTGTCGGTAATGGAAGAACTTGGCGCTTGTCGGTACTCGAGGGAAAGACAGGTGAAGGGGAGTCTTTACAAGTCAATGCGCCAAAGCAGTGAGTTCTTTGGTGTTGTGAATGGTCGGTTATCGAGGGAAGAATATGAGCGAGCGGCCCATCTTCTATCTATATTACCTCTCTCTATGTCATACGCTAAGCATTAGAGTTGTAAGTGATCACCGTGGGGTCGGGAGCACGGTGATGCAAGGTGTGGAGATAGGAAATGAGGGACCCCCTGTGGGTGACGGACCGTTACAGACATCTCTTTGTTTCCTTCTTTTGCGAGCGGTACAGGGGATTGGCCCTGCATGATGTCTGCCTGTGGACAAGAAACAAGGTTACAAAAACAGGTCTAGACTTTATTGAAACAAAACAGGGTCGTCTGCATGGCTGTGGTCCCTTCTCATCAATTTTGGTGAAGCTGGTGAGTTGAAATGGCGGAAGCGTGGGGTCATCTCTCTCGATCAAACGATCGGCAGATCTACCGTCCGTGCCGTGAGGCGCGTGGAACCTTCTTCAAAGAACACATTGTTCTTATGAGCTCGCTGCTCAATTGTTCGTTGGGTTGCAGATGTCTTGCGCGTGCTTCCGCGATTGCGCTTTTACGCTCTCTGCTCATGCGCATGGTGACTCCTGGGGACGCTGTTCTCACAACGTCATTATGCGCGGATTACGGCGAGCAGTCGGGAGGATGCTTGTTCGGTGGTATTGATGAAACAACGAGGTGCCACGCCGCCGTGAAGTTGCTCAAGATAGGGACCGAGAAGCTATGTCATCTGCCAAGGCTCTAGTTCGCCCTTCATTTCCCTGTTGCGCGAATGCCAGGGCTTCCCAACACCAAAGCATCCAGCGCAGTCGAAGCTGAATCTTCTCAAAGCCTCTCAGAAGTTGCGCAGTCTCAGACCACCTGGGCAGAAACGCGCGCTGCGACCTCTACCAGAGGTGTACAGTTATGAATATCTCGACACTCAACAAACATCACCTGTACCAAGTGTCCAGGAGTCGCGATGTGCCTGCGCAGTAGCAATAACAGCACGGCAGAACATCATGGCATCAGCAAATGTACTGTGCAGAGTCCTGACTAGGTCCCACCGAGCGCAATCCCTTTTAATCCCCGAAGGCGTTGAGAACATGAATGCGCAGTCATTAGCATTAGGGGTGTAAGACTCCGGTGCCCTCTTGCGCATTGTCCGTAAGAAGCGTACTGCTTACGCCAGCTGGCAAGAGGATTGCCTGCTAACCCGAAGAAGAAAATCTCAAGCGTACACCGTTCAGCCCTACAGATTCGCGTATGCGCAGTAAGCAGCGCCTATCGCATTCCAGTTTCGAAGGCCAGACTATACCTAGGCTCCAGCAATGTGCCATTCATCCATAGCTTTTGTTCAACATCCACCCTTTACTTGTTTGCCATCAACTTTCAGCATGAACACCAAGGCAGAAGCAAACACATGGGCGGATACACCATTCGCCCTCCTCAACATTCCCGGTCAACCAAACGCACCAATATGCACGAATGCCGGTGTTCTCAGTGTCGCCATAGAAATGGCCAATGTTCACAACGTCTTGCTCCGCGCTCTAAATTCCATATATCACCAAGCGCCCTTCACGCAACTCCCTGGCGATGTTGCGGATCTCATTCTGTACGTCACCGCATGGGCAGATACCGTGCACCACCATCACTCCCTTGAAGAGACTATGTTCTTTCCAAAGATAGAGCAGATCGCAAGTGAGGCAGGCATAGATGGCTGGGAAGGCATGATGGGAGGAAACGTGGACCAGCATCATGAGTTTGAGCCGAAGATTGCAGGGCTGGTGAAGTGGGCCGAAGAAGTTGGGGCTGGACAGAGAACGTGTGACGCGGCGGAACTGAAGAGCCTGATCGATGAATTCGCACCCATCCTCACTCAGCATCTACATGACGAGATCGATACCTTGATACGACTCGAAAAGTGTGATGGAGAAAAGATCAAGCAGGCGATGAAAGAAGTAGCCGACGAAGGAGCAAAGACTGCTGATCCGGTACGTATTCCAATATTTTCACTAGCCGCTTACCATCAAGCAAAACACTGATAAGCTGCTTCTTCAGAATCTCGTCATCCCGTTGGTACTTGGCTGTGTCGACAGAAGCTATCCCGGTAGTGGTAGTTTCCCACCCGTACCCTTCTTCATCCCGTACCTGAACGCATATTGGTTCACGAGAAAGCACAAGGGAGCATGGAGGTTCAATCCAAGCGATCACTGGGGCAATCCAAGGCCGCTGCAGTTTCTCCCATGACCATCGTGAGAGGTCTAAATAAAGTCAGGAAACTGACATAGCATGGCGGTCGCCGAAGCTTTTATGTATTCAGAGGTTTTCTGTGTGATGAATGAAGACTACTGGGGTTCATGTAGCTTCTGCAGTTGCAATTTACCTCGACAATAGAGGCCCAGGCACGCCTTGTATACATTTCGGCTTCCTTTTATCTGACTACATTGTTTCACTCTACCCCGTGTATTCATTGGGGTATTTCGAGGCCGCAACATCTGCCCCGGTAGATTATGGTAGTCGGATACATTCACATCGAAGCACATGCGAGGTACATCTAGGCAGCCTTGCCACCAGGTAATAAAGTAACTTTTCCATCGAAAGCGCCTCTTGGCGCTACATGAGTATCACAAGCCCGATATTTATCTCCTTCTCGAATCTCTACTACCTGATTGAACAGAACCACGTCCTGACATTCTGTCAACACTAAAGTCATAAACGTGCAGCCAACAGATATGTCTGTCAACAGCGTACCTACGAGCCCCCTTTTAAAGCTCCCCAGAGGTGAGTAAGAGCTAGGACTCGAGGAGTAATAATAATTGGACTACAATTAGCTAACGTATGTTGACAGAGCTCCGCAATCGTATCTACAACTATGCACAAGAACCAGGCGATGTTCATCCTATCCACAAGCCCACCCAGCAACACGAGCAGACAAATAAGACTCAACGACAGTTCTTCGGTCTCACACAAGTCTGCCGCCAGCTTCGGTCAGAGCATCTACCCATGTACATGGCGCAGACCAAAGTTCATATTCAGTGCCAGGACTCGCTTTCTTACATCAACACCTTCATTCTTCCTACCGGTACAGATCCCAAGCAAGCTCGCGGAGATCTCACTGTCCAATTACCAGGCCAATTGTATGAATCTCGGAGCGAATTATCATCTCAAAGGGATATCATACATGTCATCAACCTCTGCAGAAGCGCCCCACAGGTCAACGTAGCCTTCGCGCTAGGCGACATCCCGCTATCGCAGAGCCGTTTTTCAGGCCGCCGTATAGGGCGTATCCTGCACGACCTCACAAAACCGGAAGCTATGCCTGTGCTGCACGATTTCATCCGAAACTCCGTGGAGCATCTAGAGTGTTGGATGTATACGGAAGAAACCTCGTCGCTGAGGTTCCGGACAAAGAAGGGCCATGCGGAGAAGTGGATGGATGCGTGGTCACACTGTTGCGCGAACTGCCCCACCGGACAGGAGTCAGGTCGGCGAATGGAGCGATGGAGGGGGGAGATGCGGCTCGATGGTTCGATGCATCACTTGAATGATTACGTTCATGTAGTATTTATCGTCGATGAGGAGTGGAAAGCTTGCTTGTCGCATGGGTGCTAGACTGCTGCTGTTTACAAATTTACAATGTTTTTTTGGACCATCCAACTTGGTTGTGACAGTACGGTTTGGAGAAGAAGACGAATTCGAAAGTTGCTGGGGTGGGCTAGATCCGTACATGTAGTTGCCTAGCCGAAGTGTACCTTATGTTACTTAGCAGATCAATGATTATTGAGGGTGTCATCGCTTTTCAATAGTTTCTTTGCGTCATTTGAAAGGTATTT